GTTTCTAGATTATCTTCTTACCTCCACTTGGCAGTTAGCATTCATTCTCTACAGAGGAAAAAAGATAGCAGATACATTGTCACACTAGCTCCACCTCTTTTTTTTTTTTCACTTTCCTTGGCCAAAGGTTCTCTCTTAGGGCTATATAGCTTGATGTAGGGACAAACACCCCACAAAAATAGTATGGGTTCCTGATTCAGGAAGGAGCTATTTCTAAATTCCCATTGCTAGGGAATCCCAGTTCACCCAGCACTATTCCTAGACTTAAGGAGCAAAAGGTCACAACCTGGGCTAGAATTTGTTCAAGTCATGTCTTTTCTCTGATCTCAGGTTCCTCATTCAATCTGAAATATTTAGAGCAAGTACATAGTAATATGTGAAGTAAAACAGGAACAAAATTCATAGATTTCTTGACCATCTCTAATGGTACCTACAATGCTGCACCATGTTGCCTGCATTCTGGCCATCACTTTTATCTCCTCCCCTCTACTGAAAACTTGAACTGTGCCCATGGAACACTGGACTCCTATAGGTGAGCTTTTGCTTATCTTGCCTGGAAGGAGGCCTCTATACAACATTTCTGTCACCTCCTCATCTTGCCATTGCCACACCATAGCCCTGGACATTTCAGGTCACCATTATATGTGGTTTTCCCTCATTAAAACTGAAGTTTTTTGATGAAAGGATTATTGTGGGGTTACTATTTAATGTAAGTATCTTGCTTGTTTATAATTGTATCTCCAGCACTTCGTATACTATCAGGAATATAGTAATACCTTAATATATGCTTTATTGAACTATTTTAACATGTAATTTCATAAATGAAAATGCTTTGTACATCAAGCACCATTCCAAGGTAAGTTGCTATAATCTATTTTATGCCCAAATATACCACATGTATGACTAAAAGCCAGTATAAAATGGGCACATACTTCCAGTGAAATACACAACTGTCCATATACAAATAGATTACTTAAAATGTTCCCTAATAGGATATGGCCCTTAGCTTCGGCTAATCTAATTGATAGCTTCAGAGGAGTCATGTAGTAGTAGGTAAAGGATATATCATCTAAGTGGATGAGACTTCAACATTAATAGAAGATGTGAACTTAAGTTCTTCACTATTGAACTGAAAAAAAAATCCTTGAAAAATGAAAAGCATGAGAATTGAAAAGGGCAGGGGAGATGGAAACTATTTAAAGATTGGAAAATAAAAGGGAAATATATTAATAATGATTATCTGGAGGTAATAACTTGTGTTCCTTTATGTAGTTCCAACATAAATGTCACTGTAAGAAAAGATATGTCATTTCAATACTAACAAATCAGGTACTTGGTGTACTAGGGGAAAATGATTAGAATTACTTTAAATTTGCTTTAACTGGAGGAACTGCAAAATATTTATATTCTTATGAAGGAAGGAAGGAATGCCCCTCCTGAGTATATTTAAGTATCCTTCATCTTTCGGATAAATGGTAATGCTAAACAAAAAATGGAAAGATGACCTTAGAAAAATAACCTCATGGTTCAACTGGGATTCAACATTCTACCACACAAAAATCATTTGCAATATGTTCAGGATGGAAATTTTTGTGCTGCTTTATCGCTCATCGATGTCATTATAGACCTGAAAACAGCATCCCCACCAAAACATCCAACTATGCATTGGTTTCTCTCCCTTGTATCAGGCCCCCACATGTAAAATTACTCATAGTCCCCTTGCTCACTCTCCACAGTTCTGCTCAGCTACTCAGAAATTTGGGGAAGGACTGAATTGCAAAGAGCAAGTGAAAACAATCCATTTTTGAGAGGTGTTTCATATAAAAATGTGGAAGTGTTGAAGCGAATTCAGGTCTGGCATTATCTGGAACTTTCTCTAGCTAGTTTTCTTTCATTTCTGTATTACAGTTACTGTATCCAAAGTCTACATGGAATATCGCAAAGGGCAAACCCTGGCTTGATACCTGAATAGCATCTTATCAGAAAGTTGACAAAGGTTGCCTTTCAGTATATGCCATTCCCATGGGTTGCACTGGGAGTTTTGTGGGAGATAGTTAGTCTGGACTTAGATTTGTCAAATTCTAATTTTCAAAAATGTAACTTTCACATTTATTTCATGGGGGTGTAACTGTAGTAGATCAATAATACCAATGGAAAGAGTAACATGTTTCAACAAATGTTAACTAAGATGGTCATTAGCTCCTGTTTGAAATGAGGCATATACCTTATGCACACTAGGGTACAGTGTAAAGAGCCAAAGACTGGAGTCAGAAGCCTTGAATTTAAATTCTAGCTCTGAGAGATAGATATATAGCTATTGATATACATATATATATGTACATATATATATGTACATATATATGTACATATATATATGTACATATATATGTACATATATGTACTAGGGGAAAATGATTAGAACTACTTTAAATTTGCTTTAACTGGAGGAACTGCAAAAATATTTATATTCTTATGAAGGAAGGACACATGTATGTATGTGTGTCATATGACTTTGGGCAAGTCACTTCCTTTTTCTGGGCTTTAGTTTTCTCATTTATAAAACACTATTTCTCAACAACATGACCTCCATGGTCTCTTTCAGCTCTAGATTCTACACAGTTATCCCTTCCACATCACAGGGGTAAGAAGAACAGTGCCCCCACAATCCAGAAAATCCATGAAAAAAAATTTTGGCCCTCCTTTCACACCAGGGAAGAAGTCTGAATTTTTCCTTTTTCTTTTATGAGGTATTTATTTATACTTCCTTATTGTAAAATTTGGGTTAAGTTTTTGGTCATAAGCTCTGTGTTGTCTCTTGGCCTTCACATGTTGTCTGTGACTTCCTCAAAACTCCCAAAAAATTCTCATCAAATTTCTTATGCTGATCTATGATGTATATTGAAACTACAATGGAGAAAGTCACAATACAGAAGGAATAACTGTAATTCTATTTAACTTAATTAAGCAACTTTTTGTCAAGGTAAATATCTGACTATTATTAAGAAAGTCATTTTTCAGGATATTACAACAATATTCTAGCAAGAATGTGGTGAGGCTCTTTCTAGATCCCTCCAAAACAAAGATACTGATGTGAGTATTCTCTGTAGCTATGCTAATTGAATATTGGGCAATCCATTCAATTCAGGAAAACTGATTGGGCAAAGTCACATGTGCTAAGCACTTGACATGTACACATGGATGTTAGGAAACAGAAACAAGGAAAGAAGAAGTAAATAACCCCTTGATCCACAGGGGCAAGTATTATCAGTAGAAGGAGGAAAAAAGTAGGGAAAATATATTACTTGTTCAATTTTTTTAGGTCAAGTGATTATCTTCCTTACTTTCCCACGCTCCTCCAAGAAGCAACATTAAAAACCGGTGGTAGGAAAAATGATGGAGGATAGCCTTTCATGGTCAAAGTGAAACACTAACAAAATCAAAGAGTGTAAATACGTCCAACCTCCCTTCTAACCCCTGAGTCTTGAGTTTTCAAGTTTCTGGAGCTTCTTTTCTGGAGACATTTTCTTTGGGTTTGGAAATTACTGTCCACTTGAACCTAAGGGTGAGAGGAACCATCTTTTTCTCCTTTTGATTAATGAAAAATATGAATGTCTTAAATTTCAGGAAACCTGGAAAGATATAACCATATTTAACTGTTTTCTGGGTGAACCTACTTTATGTGGTCATGTTTTGAAAAATTCTCTGGCAGATTTGCTTATTCGTCTTTGAGTTAAAATGTCCCCTAAATAATCCACATGTATTTTAATCCTGTGTGATTGATTAATATATACTTCCAAAAAGAAGCCTATATATGTGAATTATTTGGGTACATTTTACCAAGATATGCTATTTCCAAGAGAAAGATATTCTGAATTCATAAGACTCTAGGACCAGGTGTAAGTGAGACACAAGTCTGCAGAAGGGCATTCCAGTTCTGGTGAAGTATCACAAGAATTGTGGTCACTTTACAACCACTTGGAAAGGTAGATATTGTTCATTTGCATGGCATTTTCTACTGAATTCTAGATAATCATGGGTGAATTTGTATACTCCAAGTGCTTCCTATTTGTCCCAGGAGAACAATAGAACCAGTGTAATATGCTTTATTTCTTGTGAGCTGGGGATGTTTTTGGTGTGAATGGATGTCACCAAGGAGCTGTCTATCATCTTTCCTAACAAACTAAAATGTGTTCATTACACTGCCCCTGTCACAAAGTCCATTATTTATGGCCCTTGGGAGGAAGTGTGTGAAGAACAGCTAACCCAGTATGCTGAAGTAGATACCCAGCTGCTTGGGCTGTTAATATAGCTGTAGAAAGAACATGATTAATCCTTGAGTTTATTTCCCACCAGTTTGTTATAAATCCCACACCAGCTCTGTAGTGACCCACACAGTGCACACACATCAGTGGGCTCTGGTGATATTATGACAATCTTGAGAGCCACTAACTTGAGTAAGTACCAAAAGCACAGGCCCATCTGGAATATAAGACCTCTCTTCATGGACTGTCTCCATGATTGAGCAGGTTCTGTTCAATTAAAGAAAATAGTAACAACTTCCTATTCATGAAACCAAGCCAAAGCTAATGCAGTCATCTCTGCAGCACTGCACTGAGACTTTATCTTTTGTTGAGGTAGCAGGTGGAGAGGAGGCTCCCTCCAGCCTCCTAGCAAAAGCATCAGTTGGATGGGCAAAACCAGACTCTTTCTGGAAATAGCAACAATTCTATTGCAAGTGGACGAAAGCCATTAATCAGTTCTACTTCAAGGCACTGGAGTCCCTATACACTCTACTCTGGTGCTACACACCAAGGATACCATCCCATGAGTATAAACACTCAATTAATTGATCAAATAAGTCAGCAAGTATTGTTGATAGCAATTTGAGTGTTCTGCCATAGCCTAGAACATAGACCTCCCACTATCTTCAGAGAACAGCTGAGGATGTCCCAAGTGGGCAAATGAAAGTTTTGCCAATTTGTAGGGCAAAATATACTTACTTTATAAGGTCCTTGATTACAACCACAATAACTGCTTTCCATGGTATAGCTCCTCAACACCCCAATTTCTCGCCACACAACAACCCGAGCGGTCGAAGCCCTGGATTTCTCCACCAGGAAACTGCAGCTGTTGATTGCAAATGCAGGTGCCACCTTATCAAGGATTTTGGGAAGTGTCTGCAATGAAAAATCAAATTATTTTGAGTGACAGATAGTCAGCTAGATAATTAGATATTCATATTAACATGTTATAAGAACTCTTCAGGGAGATCAAGGATTATTCAAAAGAGACCAGCCTAATAGTCCATACAGGAAAAATGAAATGAATTCAAAATATCTACTGCCAATATTATCACTTGCAATCAGATAATCTATCAACTCAATATGGTATAACTAAAAAGGCAGTGGACTTGGCTTCAGGAAAACTCGGGTTCAAATCTTGCCTCAGACACTTACTAGCTGTGCAACCCTGGACAAGTTATTTGATCACACTGTACTTCTATTTGCTGAAAAGTCTCATCTTTTCAACACAGATGTGCCCCAGGTCATTTTCTATAAGAATATTAGAACATCCTAATCTCTAATGAATCAAAGTTACAGGTGACCCATGGGACAAGGGAGAGATGCACATTGGGTTCAAGTATTTTTCAGAGATATCATTAAAGTCTGTAATCCTAAAAGTGTGATATAACAGATGGACTACTTGAGTGCTCCATGGGTGCCTGAAAATATTAACAAAAAGACCTAGAGGAGGGCCTCCAAATATATGGGATTAATTATTTGTGAAGAATCTAAGGAAAGACTAAATCAGAATCACACAAGATGAGAAGGCATAAATAGGATCTGATATGCAGCAAAGAAGAGAATCCTCACATCAATGAGAGAAATGGAACATTTTAGTACTGGAATACATACACAACTCTACATAAGAATTTTTCTTCTGTGCTTACTATATTTCTCAGTACCATTGTCATATACCCTTCATATACCCTTATCACCACTATCATCAATGTCAGTAAGCATTTATTAAGCTCCTACTATGTTCTAAACACTGTGTAAGAGTTGGGGATGCAAAGAAAGTTAAAATAGTCCCTACTGTCAAGGAGTTTAAATTCTAATGGGGGAGATAGCATGTAAATTAAGTATATACAAGATAGATAGAAAAAAGTATGAGATCATTTACCTATATTCATTGAAATCAATTAAATTGAATTATAATTATTGTGTTGTATTGTCAAGAGTCTCAATTTCAATTTATCCAATTGTTATGAAAATAAAAAAGAGTTCATGGGTCTGGTTCTTAGAAATCAGGGAGAGCAAGATAAGTATCAGATAGGTGGCCTAAAGCAAATTGAATATTATATATTATATATGTTCTAATTCAATCAATATATATTTCATAAGTACCCACTACCAATTATTGTGATGGGAACTGGAAATATAAAAGACAAAATCAAAAATAACTCATGCCTTCAAGGATCATACAGTCTAACTGAAGGGATGTGTGTGTGTGTGTGTGTGTGTGTGTGTGTGTGTGTGTATATGTGTGTGTGTAGGTAGGTAGATTGGGATAGCCATGAGGACTAGCACTATGATATCATTAGTATACAGAGCTATGAAGATGAACAAATTCTACCAATTCAGGTCGGTATCTTCTCTGGAACTTATAGACTTGACTTCCCCAGGTCCCACAACTAGGAGGTGTCAGAATTGGAATTTGAACCCATGTATTCCTGTTCTGAAGCCTATGATCTGAAAAGTAATTGCTATATAACAGATGAACAGCCTGAGTGCTCCATGGGTACCTTAGAAATATTACCAAAAAGACTTAGAGGGGGGCCTCTAGCATATTGGGTAAGTTATTTGTGGAGAATCTGATGAAAATTGTAAATAAGAATTACACAAGATGTGAAGGCATGAATGGAAGCTGCTTTTTCAGGTACATACAAAACGGATAAAAATAGATACAAGGTTATTTTAGGGGAATTCACAAGCATTTAAGGGTAGGAGGAAAACATTCCTATGGAAGGTGACTCAGATTTAATCTTGAGGGAAACTAGAGACTTTGAGGAAATAGAAGCGAGGAATGCCTTCCAGTCTTGAGGGACAGCCAGCACAAAGAAAAGTATGGAAGTGGACAGTGGAGGGCTATGAACTACAAATAGCAAGAAGACTAGTTTGGCTGTCTTATTGTGGGTGTGGAGGGGAATGACATGTAATAAACCTGAGAAAATCCATTGGGTGAGGTTTTAACTAGCTTTTAATTAAAGTAGGAGAAGGATGTGTGGGAGAAAAAGCAACAAAATGACTTGAGTGAAAAACAAGAAGGAGAAATGAGTTTAAAGGACATTAGGAAGGTTTAGAAAATGTGATGAAAGCTAGATAGAGAATTTAGGGATTCAAAAGACTGCAGCGATAATAAAGTAGTTGAAAATGTAGGAGAACGAAGAGTTGTAGATGAGCAGGAGTCAAAGGAGAAGGAAGCAGAAATGAAAGCATACTGGATAAAAGAACTAGTCTCTTAGGTGAAGTTACACACAGGTTTTCTGACTCTAAACCCAATGTTCTTTCCTCCCAATACTATGATGTTATTTGTTCCTCACCTCCTTTCTTAACATCATGTTTTCCAGGTCCCAAACCAGAAGTTTGCTTTTGTTCTTGTTTTTTGTCTTAGATCAGAATGATATAACATTTTACCTAGTAAAAATGCCTTGCTTATGGTTAAATGTTTGTTGATATTGTTAATCCATGCCAAATGTAGAACAGAAGAAATTCTGATAAACCAAAATTACGGTTCTTTGGAATTCAAGAGCTAGAGACAATTGATAGTGCTGACTGAAAGCAAATATGATCAAAACAAATATCCAATGGACCAACTAGGTAGAACCAAACTTTCTGGGCCTCAGTTTCCTTACCTGAAAAGAAAAGGTTTCAACTACATTACCCCTAAAATCTTTCCAGTTCTGATATTGGTTAACACACACATATACACACACATTCATTTACTCATTCTCCCCTTCCCTTCCATTCTTGCATAGGCCTCACCCTAAATAAGGTTAAGTTGTTGTGTTGGAACAGACTTTAGCTGGACAGCAGCAAGGTAAAAACTTCATGCCACTATGGATAATCTTTACAGTCATTCATCCATTCGTGAATAATGATATACGATTTTATATGTACTAAAGAACTTTTTAAAATTACTCTTTGAAATTGACAAGAAGCAAAATATCAATCTCATTCTTAAGCAAAATAAAAACTCCAAGCTCACTAAAAGAAGAGGGTAAAATTTGGGCGGCAGAGCCAATATGGCAGAGTGAAAGCAATGACTCACTTGAGCTCTCCCCCAAACCCTTCCAAATACCTATAAAAATGGCTCTAAACAAATTCTAAAGCAGCAGAACCCACAAAAAAGACAAAGTGAAACAAATTTCCAGCACAAGACAACCTGGATTGTTGATCAGAAAGGTATATCATGCCAGGCTGAGAGAGGGGTACAGTTCAGCATGAGTATGCAGGCCACAGTGTACCTGGAGCAGGCCTCAGAGGACTGAATCATGGGCAGCTGAGGCAGTTTCCAGACTTCTCGACCCATGAACGCCAAAGACAACTTAGAAGGTCAGTGGGAAAGGTCTGTTTTTTTCAGTGAGAGAGAAGCTAGGTCTCAGCCTCAGATCTCAAACTTGGCCCTGGGGCAACAGCTGCCTCCTGAGCTTCAGGCCCATAGACTGAGGGGAAATCCAGTGGCTGATCAGATGGGGATTGCAGGGATCTCTCTGCTGGTTCAAAATTATCTTGCTTTGCCTGTGCTTGGATCTGGGTCACAGTTCTGAGGGACAGTCTTGGGGCAAGGAAGAGTGCTGGTGTGGTGGAGCTTGTAGTGGTAGTAAAGAATAAATCCTCCTCACAGTTCCAAGGCAGAAAAGAGTGCTTGTGGTCATTCACAGAGCAGAGCACAGGCCAGTAAAGGAGTACACACCTCACCCGTTATCACACCACCTTGGAAGAACTGAAAATTTACAGGTCCCTACAAGTATCTCTGAAAACAGCTGTACAAACCCCCAACGCATGGGACAGTACATTCTCCACATTGGAAGTAGATCTCTGCATTAATAAAGAGTTTATAACTCAAATAATTGGCTGGGATCATGATCAAACCTTGCAATAAGTGTTAGACCACAGAATCTTTTTTTTGGTAACAAAGATCAAAACATACAACCAGAAGAAGACAACAAAGTCAAAGCTCCTATACCCAAAGCCTCCAAGAAAAATATGAATCAGTCCCAGGCCTTGGAAGAGATCAAAAAGGAGTTTGAGAAGCAAGTAAGAAAAGTAGAGAAAAAACTGGAAGGAGAAATGAGAGTGATGAAAGAAAATCATGAAAAACAAGTCAACACCTTGCTAAAGGAGACCCAAAAAAAAAATACTGAAGAAAATAACACCTTAAAAAATAGACTAACCCAAATGGCAAAAGAGGTCCAAAAAGCCAGTGAGGAGAAGAATGCTCTAAAAAGAAAAATTGGCCAAATGGAAAAGAAAGTCCAAAAGATTACTGAAGAAAATACTTCCTTAAAAATTAGAATAGAGCAATTGGAAGATAGTGACTTCATGAGAAATCATGACACAGCAGAACAAATCCAAAAGAATGAAAAATTAGAAAACAATGTGAAATATCTCACTGGAAAATCAACTGACCTGGAAAATAGATCCAGGAGAGAGAATTTAAAAATTATTGGACTATCTGAAAGCCATGATTAAAAAAAAAAGGGGGCCTAGACATCATCTTTCAAGAAATTATCAAGGAAAACTGCCCTGATATTTTAGAACCAGAGGGCAAAATAGAAATTGAAAGAATCCCCTGATCTCCTCCTGAAAGAGATCCCCAAAGGAAAACTCCTAGGAATATTGCAGCCAAATTCCAGAGTTCCCAGGTCAAGGAGAAAATATTACAAGCTGCCAGAAAGAAACAATTCAAGTACTGTGGAAACACAATCAGGATAACACAACATTTAGCAGCTTCTACTTTAAGGGACCACAGGCAATGAAATATAATATTCCAGAGGGCAAAGGAGATAGAAATCACCTACCCAGCAAAACTGAATATAATCCTTCAGGGGAAAAAATGGTCATTCAGTGAAATAGAGGACTTTCAAGCATTCTTGATGAAAAGACCAGAGCTGAATAGAAAATTTTGCTTTGAAATACAAGACTCAAGTGAAACATGAAGAGGTAAACAAGAAAGAGAAATCATAAGAGACTTATTAAGGTTGAACTGTTAACATTCCTTCACGGAAAGATGATATTTATAACTCATGATACCTTTCTCAGTATTAGGGTAGTTGGAGGGAAAAAATTATAGGTATTATATATAGATATAGATATAGACACAGATACAGATATAGATATAGATATAGATATAGATATAGATATAGATATAGATATAGATATAGATATAGATATAGATAGATATAGATATAGATATAGATATAGATATAGATGTAGATATAGATATAGATATAGATGTAGATATAGATAGATAGAGGGCACAGAGTGAGTTGAAGATTAAGGGGTCATATCTGCAGAATAAAATTAAGGGGTGAGAGAGGATTACATTGGGAGAAGGAGAAAGGAAAGGTTATAATGGGATAAATTATCTCACATAAAACAGACAAGAAAAGGCTCTTACAGTTAAGGGTAAACAGGGGAAGGTGAGAGGGAATATGTGAATCTCATTCTCATAGGAATTGGCTTAAGGAGGGAATAACATACACATTCAATTTGGTAAGGAAATCTGTCTTACCCTATGGGAAAATAGGGGGAGAAGGGGACAAGAGAGCAGGGGAATGATAGAGAGGAGGGCAGATTGAGAAAGGGGGTAATTAGAAGCAAATACTTCTGAGGAGGGACAGGGTCAAAAGAAAGAATAGAATAAATGGAGGGCAGGATAGGATTAAGGGAAATAGAGTTAGTTTTTGAGAACATGACTACTATGGAAGTGTTTTGTATAACTGCACATGTATAACCTATATTGAGTTGCTTGCCTTTTCAGTGAGGGTGGTTGGGGAGGGAGGAAGGGAGAAAATTTGGAACCCAAAGTTTTAAAAACACGTGTTTAAAAAAAAAGGTTTCATATGCAACTGGGAAATAAGAAATACAGGAAATGGAGTATAGATATCTATCCTGACCTACAGGAAAATAGAAGGGGAAGGGGATAAGAGAAGGAGGGAGAGGTAGAAGGGAGGGCAGACTAGGGGAATGGATATTCAGAATACATGCCATCTTGGGGTGGGGGGACAGGTGAGATGGGGTGAAAATTTGGAACTCAAAATCTTTTGGAAGTAAATGTTGAAAGCTAAAAATAAATAATTTTTTTAAAAAAAGAAGAGGGTTAAATTGGTCAAGACAGCCTCAAGAACCATCACTCATATAATTCTTTCTGATCAGGCATTATTAGACATTATTTCAAATTTGGCACATGACTTAAAACATGTTTTTAAAAAGCACTCTTAATGTGGTTCCTAGGGGCAAGTAGAAGTATATTTTTTTCATAAAATCGAGGTTGGTAGTTGGGGGAATTTATATCTTGTACAAAGGTCATTTTATTATGATAAAGAAGTTATCTTCTACTGAGTTATTTGGCTTATCTATAAGAGATAATGGACTTCAAATGTGCAAGCATTTTCATCTTGAAAAGGAGCACATTTTGTTTGTTCTTCTTCATTGTTAGATTGGCTTCATTATTATTTTATCTAGACACAAATCCTAGTTATCATTCTGTGATTCTGTGAAAAGTGCTATATATGATGTATAAACAAAATGTGACTGAAATTCTACGAAGAGAACGACCACATTCTTTTGTGGTAATCTGAGAAGTCTTCTGAGAGAATCATAAATGTGGTATTAAATTTTTAGTAGCATTAATACCAGAAAAGATGTAGGAGATCTACAGGTAACAGGTACAGCACAAACAAAGGTGTAGAAACAAAAAAAATGTCTAGTATGTTCTCATAACTACTTCAATCCAAGTATAAGTGCAGATAGTGGCAGACAAATGAGAAAAATAGATTAGAAATCATGTTGTGGCAGGCCTTGAATGCCAGACTGAGTAATTTGGACTTTATATGATAGGAGTTCATTTGTTGAATTTTCCCATTTCACTTCACCCAAAACAATCTAATGAACTTATCCCTTTCCCTATAGAGTCTGGACATAGTCATAATCTCTTTATCATTAGGTGTTAATGACTACGGTTATGCTAAGATGAATTGGCTTATTTGTTTTTTGCTTTTTTGGTTTTTTGCTGGGCAATGTGGTTAAGTGACTTGCCCAGGGTCACACAGCTAGTAAGTGTTATGTGTCTGAGGCCGGATTTGAACTCAGGTCCTCCTGAATCCAGGGCCAGTACTCTATCCATTGCACCACCTAGCTGCCCTGATGAATTGGCTTATTTGGAACTGGCCCATAACTCTTTACCATAGGTAGTTTTCAGTGACTGTGACCCCTCCCAAAATGCTTTAGTTGGCCAACACATTAGGGATATGGATCTTCTGTGGGAGGAGCCACCTTTAAATATTTGATTATAAAAGTTAACTAATATTCACTTCACTTTTTTTTAACCCTTCTCCAGAAGAGAGATTAGAGATGTATACACAGTCAACTCCTGACAGGTATTATTAAATACATAGTCAAAACATATGGTCACCTATAGCTTTATCACTTGACCCAAGAGGAGAATTCCTAATTGTGGAACTCAGAAAATGGTAGTAATTCATATTAAACTGGGATACTAAAGAATCTTGAAAAATCACATGACATAAACAGCCATATGTTTATATATGGAGTTTAAGAAGGAACCATAATATAGATCCCCACTTTCTTGTGTAGAGAAGAGGTAGTCTAAATTTCTTTACCAGCTTGATCTCAGATTATATTTTTAACATGTTGGTTGCCTTGAAAATGACTCTAAATTTGAGATTTGGATATTATACTATCCAGAGAGAAAAAAAAAGGAGTTCCTGAGTAGCACATCCCTTTGAGAAAGATGTCACTAATGTATTTCCTTCCAGCCTCCAGATGGAAAGCCATAAAGCACTAAAATATGAGTTGAGAGAACAGAAGTCCTATACTTTGCTCTCTACAATTTCATTGAGTAATTCAGCCAGCATAGGTTTAAAGAGGAGAAGGTCATCTTTCTAGCAATTCCAAAGCAATCCCTAGCCTTTTGGGAAGAGATTTCACCACTGGGTTGCATTTCACATTTAGGGACGATTCTGTAAGACTCTGTAGGAAAGCTAGGGATGTCAGAATGCTATCCTGACGGCAACTGTGAGATCAGATACCTTCTACAGAGGGCTTACTGGTTATTCTATGTATTTTCCATATTTGTTTATGAGCTTTTCCTATATCATCTTTGCCTATAAACTATCTTCATTTTAGTGGTAAAAAAGTTGCTTTCCATCCATATGTATATGTTAATTTAAGGGCTTATTTGGGAGTTGGTTACTATAGTACACAAATTTGTTGAAAGCTGGATATGAATATATTTGGTGATTTCCCTGAGAAAACTTTGTGTGGGGGCAAAGTGAGCCAAAGAGAATACATTACTCTTTGTCAACCCCAAGATCAGTCTCAGTCAAATGTAAGCCCAAAATTTGGTGACAGACTCTGGACTAGGGGTTAATTTATTTCATAGACAATCAAAATTCATTCTAAGTTTTTGAATCTGATTATGATGTGATCTGAACTGTTCTTTAGGAAGATTGATCTGCAGTGGTGGTTTTAATAGATTGGAAGGAGTATAGACTCAAGGTAAAAAAAAGAATAGTTAGAAGTATATTTGCAATATTCCTGTAAAAAGATAAATCTCTGAACTACAATGGTTGTAATGGCATAAGGAACAGGAGGAATGTATTGCAAAAGAAAATATAAAGATGGAAACACTGGATAATAAATATAAATTAGGAGGGATCTCAGAGCCTATTTTTTCTAACCCTCTCATTTTATAGGTAAAGAAATTGAGGTTTTCAATGATTTAGAGATAGAGAGAAGGAAGAAGAGTGTGGAGTCAAAGACAATTTCAAGGCTTTGAACACAGATACTTTGGAGAATGATGTTTATATGAACGAAAATAGCGTTGTTATTACTAAGAAATGATTCAAAGGGTAAAGATGAGTTTGGCTTTTAAAATGTCAAACCTTAAGTACTTGTGAGACATCCAGATGGAGATGTTCTTTCAGCAGTCAGAAATGAGGGAATTACCTCTAGGAGAGAGTTCAACCTGGTCATTGTCTCCTGGAATCTCAGTATATATTGAAGTGATATACAGGGTATCCCTAAAGTCTTCGATCAAAATAAGATATTTTAAAAATGATTAAGGTCATGCCTTGTACTTAGCAGGCACCATAAGTGTTTAAGCCTTCCCTGACTAGTGTGGTTTTGAACCATAAAAGCTTAAAACTGAACTAAGACTTTTAAGATACCATATACTTCACCTCAGAGTTGAAAAATTCCCTTCCTCTGTCCCTCTTCTCATTGTCTGAATAGAGCAAAGAATCACTGAACTATAAATAACAATCTAGACACTGGGAACACAGGAAGCTATTGGTATGAATTTTAAGATCACTCTGCTCCTTATAAAATGCCTTACTTTGAGTGACAATGGGACATGTGCAGCATCTCGTAGGTAATGCCTTATACAGTGAGCATGTATGGAGCTGTATCCTTCCCAAAATGAAGAACCTTTTTTAAAACTATTGGAGAGCTTCCAACATATAGGAACCTGGCCTAAAACCACATAGGTGAAATAATTTTTTGCTTCTAATGAACATGAACTCAAAGGTGTAGGTATTAGCAGAATAACTGGCACTACGCCTTCAAATGCCTCACCCTATAGCCAACATCCTCAGAGATAATGGAAGTGTCTACGGTGCAACCTGCTTGCCACAAGGTTTCCTTGATGCTACAGCCATAGAAAAACACATTCTTCTTCTGAGAGTGTCCATGAAAATCACAGAAGACCTAGGAGGGTCAGACAAAAGAGAAAGGGAAATTAGTGCCCTTTACCCTTTGACTTTTATTTGATTAATGGTGAATTTAATGTTTAATATCAATGAACCTAATTAAACTTGATTCACAACTACAGACATATATAGCTCTTACTTGATCAAGGGCCATCTAAAAGTGTAGGCCAGCAGTATGGAACGAATTCTCCAAATCTTTTCAAGGCTCTCTAATACTGGGGTGGATTTGGTTCAATCACTCACATTGACATGCTGGGGTGAAAAGATGCTAGGATGTCAAGACAAAAATTAAAGATTCCCTGTCTTCATATAGCTTGTATTTTTATTTTAGTCTTCATCAATAAATGCTGGATTTTATCAAAGACATTTAAGCATTTATTGACATAATCATGTGCTTTTTGAAAGATTTTTATACATATGTCAAGATACTTAAAGTAGCCTTGCATATCTAATACCCAAGTTTAATGTATGGGGTGAGCCTAAGTAAAGTCTAGGTCATTCCTGGGAAACTGAGATATTCCTGTGTATGCCATAGTGTTTTATGTCTGCTATGAGCATGACCAATAATTGCTGAATAAAGGGACAGATTTCCTAATATCACCCAGGATGTAACCACATTCCAAAAAGGAAATCAGCTTCCACTGTAGAAGGGATAGTACCCCTTCACTGGTTTATTGGTATTTTATGGTGCTCCAGAGATATCTTCCTCCTCCAACAATTTTAATACTTTTAATGTATCAATATTAATTTAAGAAGAACTAAGGAAGAAGGCAATATACTCACTGATCCTTCCTTACCAACTTTGAAACCAGAGCACTTAGAACTACCTTCTCTCAAATCCTCACTCTCCCCCCTCATTGACTCACGCATACACATGACCTTTTTTCTGAGTTGGATTTAGCTAATGTATACGCAAGCCTCATCATGACTTGCCTCAACAAAGAAGCCTAGTTCATTATAACAGACTGATCTGGAATTGATGTTCTCCATTTTGTACTTCTAAAAAGATGTCAATATTTGTGGAATGGGTTATATGGCTATTGGGTTTTCCCTTTTAATGCCTCTCTCCATCCTACCCTGTTCCTCCACAAATAAATCTGTAATCTTGCTTTAGAATTGACCACTCTATACTAAATGTATTTTGTTCAGCTTCTCCTCCAAACCCTTCCCTTCACTCCCTGCTGCCAAATCCCCTGACCCAGCCTTTGTTTACTTCATGGTTTTGCTAACTTTGTAGCTGCCATGTTTTCCATTCCTGACATCTGGATAGTGTTTCTGTTTTCCACTGGCAAGACCTCTGCATTATTTATACCTTTGCCACAGGAAAATGAAAGTAAGGCTGGTGCTGGGAAGAGGCATAGTCTGGGAAATATGGAAATCCCAAAACAGAAGCATTTCCAATTAAACAACCCAAGGATTATGTGAACCCTGGAGATTCAGCCCTTATGGCTCATCTACAATGTTCTACAGATTTTTGTTCAGCACAAGCTCTGGAGTGAAGTAAATATCCCTATGAGGTAAATAACATCAGTGGCATGTTCAATCGCTAGCTAATGGCCCCACTGGAAAGACTACATTTACCAGTTCTTGTAATGACAGATATGCTCTTTTCTTATTAAGTATTTCATCTGAGTTATCAGCAACATCCAGTCAAGGTTAGATTAACCACAGGTGGTGTGTGTATGGAATTTAGTCTTAAAATATCTGAAGGGGAATTTTTAAGCTCCATGCCTATTTCCAACTCGGGAGTTTCACTTAAATTGAGATGCTCAAGGCCAATTTCAGTGAAGGCTTCATGAAGTTGTCTTTGCTTAGAGCTGAGATTTGGCCTCCTCCAATGTTAATTGTGAGTGAAATTAACCACATGGAGCTAAATATAATGTGCAACTGACTAACTGGTTTGGAAAGTTCCCACCATATTAATATGATTAGAAAGGTATTTTTTCTCTCCTTCTTGCTAGAGCCTGCTTTTCAAAGCTTTAACTGTCCTTTGATAAATCCCATGTAAGCAAATAATGAATATGTGCAGACTAATGCGTGCCATAGCATGCATTATGTAGGACCTTTCGTAAATGGAAATAAAATCACTGCGCAAACATCAAATCAGCCAGGTCTCAGAGGCAGGTATCATTTCCCATGAAGAAGAGATGAAGGGGAAAATCATCAGGTTCCCAATTAGGAAAAAAAAAACTGTAAGTGAGCCACTGGGCTTCACATAAAGAAAATCAACCTGTCAGCAGGCATTTATTAAGAGCTTAGTATGTGTTAGGCATTGTGCTAAATGTTAGAGATACAAAGAAAGGGAAAAACCTACTGACTGCCTGTCCTTTAAGCAAACAAATATTTTGAAGTACTTTTTCTAAGTGGAAAATGCATTCACCACCAAAGTCCAGTGGTCTGGAATTCTGTGAATTTTTCTTTTCTACATTGAAGTCAGTATGACATGGTAGAGAGAACAATGGATACAGAATCCAAAAAACTGGGCGTTGTGTATATGTGCTGTGATTCATATTCCATATGTGGCCTTGAGTGAGTGGTTCAATCAACTCACTGAGTCATAGTTTCCTCACTGATGAAATGAGAGGGGTAAATACTTATAGGAGGTACTGCAAGTGTGAGGAAAGCAATTTGCAAAGTACAAGTTTCAACATTATTGGGAGCCATTATTTTTTTAAAAGAAAATGTTTAATACTGCTTGAGACCAAGGTGCTAAAAATTCACTTCTAAAAAACCATAGACTTATAGTACTTAGAGCAATATAAATGATAAAAGAGAGAGAGAGAGAGAGAGAGAGAGAGAGAGAGAGAGAGAGAGAGAGAGAGAGAGAGAGAGAGAGGAATGAGAGTTTGCTTAGGGCTTACTAAGTAATCAGAACTGTCCTAAGTGTTGGGGTTTCAAATACAAAAAGCATGATTGGATCTGCCCTAAAAAATTGCATTCTAATACAATAAGACAACATATATGGGGAGTGGTGGCCAGGAGAAGTATTTTGGGCTGAGAAGACACAGACATGGTGATTGGAGTCATGGCATGACTTTCCAGGAATGCTACAGTTGATTTGATACCAGTTCCAGGACAAAAGGTAAAAATCAATGGAGGCATGAGGGAGAGTAGAGCATGGAAAAGAGCGATGCACTACACAATGGCAGGAAGTTCACTAGACAGCATCATGGTAAGTGTAGGGCCCTGAGAAAAGGTGAATTCCTCAGATATTAATTACACAGAAAAAGAAAGAGGTTCCTTTGATTTTCACTACATCAGAGTTTTCCAGTAGCATTCTCTCACTCATCTATGGCAGCAAGTATTTTAATTTAACTTTCTATTTTAAAAACGAGGGAAATTTGATTTTTAGAGAACCTACTATGAGTCTGCCAGATCAGAAATAAATACTGCTCAGTGAAAAGAACAATAATAGGCCTATTATATGTCAGGTCCTTTACTATGCATTGAAGATACAAAGGTAAAAATGAAAATAGCCCCTATTCTAAAGGTGATTATATTCTATATAGGTGGCTAGGTGAAACAGTGAATACAGCACTAGACTTGGAGTCAAGGAAAACCTCAGTTCAGATCTGGCCTCAGACACTTATTAGTTCTGTTACCCTGAGCAAGTCATTTAATATCTTTGGGCTCAATTTCCTTCTGTGTACAAATGGGGTAATAATACCAACCAATTCCCAGAGTTGTTGTAAGGATCAAATGATACAATATTTGTAAAGCACTTTGTAAACATTAGATTCATAAATGTTGGTTTTTAGTATTATTGTTATTATTATTGAAGGTAAGGAAACTGTTTCTACCAAAATTAAATAAGAAATATGTACAAGGTAATTTCCTGTTGGAGGGCCCTGGTGAATAGATAGATGAGGATAAGCTTTCTGCAGGACATGTTACTTGAGCTGAGGCATGAAGGAAGAGTAGGAATTCTTAGAATCTGAGGTAAGGAGGGAGGGTATTCCAGGTATGAGGCACAGCATGTACAAAAACAGAGAAAAACATAGGATTTCACAAAGAGGAATAGCAATCAATCCATTGTGGTTGGAAAAAAGAATATGTGAAAATGAGACACATACACCAAGACTGGAAAGGCAGAATGGCACTAGACTGTGAAAAACTTTGAAAGCCAGCAGAAGAGTATGTGTGTTATCCAAAAGGAAAAAGGGAATCACCAGGGTGTTCTAGGGAAGGAAGTGGCATGAAAACAATTTGTGTTTTAATATAAATGTGGCAAATGAATAGAGAATTCATTAGAGAGGGATGCGGTTGGATTCGGGGAGACCAATTACAATGCTATTGGAAAAAATTCAGGTGAGAGGCAAAGAAGGATTAATTAGGGTCATGACCATGGAAATACAGAGAAGGGGATGAATGTAAATATGGTACCGGCAAAATTTAAAATACTCAGCAACTACGTGGATGAGACAAGCGATGGTTTAATGATAAATCTGAGGTTGAGAACCTAAGTCACCAGGGAAAGAGTAGAACTTTCAACAGAGAGAACTTAGGAAGGAGGAGAGGATTTGGGGAAAAGGTAATAAGCTTTATTTGGACATGTTGAGTTTGAGATGCCAAAAGTTATCAAGTTGTAGATGTTCAACAGACAGTTGGAAAAGAACTGGGATTCATGTGAGAGACTGAGACTATATCTATATCTGGAACTTCTTTGAATAGAGACAATATGTGAGCCTATTATAACTAATGAGATCACTAAAATATATATAGATATAGATATATAGATATAGATATAGATATAGATATAGATATAGATATAGATATAGATATAGATATAGATATAGATATAGATATAGATAGATATAGATAGATATAGATAGATAGATATAGATATAGATATAGATATAGATATAGATATAGATATAGATATAGATATAGATATAGATATAGATATAGATATAGATATAGATATAGATATAGATATAGATATAGATATAGATAGATATATAGATATATAGATATAGATATAGATACATATATATATAT